CTGTAAAATTTACGAAAAAATTTCTAAAAATTATTTTGAGCGATTTCGAGATATTTACAAAGATCAGTTCAAATTTTTGAACGGCGGAGAGCTCGATTTCATCAAATCAGAAACTTTGACCGCTTCACCTCCCCACGCGCCGCCGTCGACGGAGACCGAGGATAGCACTGGCGAACTCGAAACGGCACAAGGAACACGATGGTGCGGGAGGTGTCGCAAACGGAGCAACGATCGGTGATGAATTTAAGATTTTCTTGGCGATTGAGCTAAAAAAAACTTTGAGACTTTGACTGGAAATTCCCGGCGTTTGGCAGCGTTTCGCTTCAATTAATTTAAGGGAATTGTTCCTCACTCGATAACGAACACGATGATGTTTTCAAAACGATGATCGGAAGTCGGACGTCGTCGAAATTGAGGTTGGAAGTTGGGTGTATGGGAGGGGATTTTATGAATTGGTTTCTGTGTTTTCACGCAGAAACCAATTCATTTCCTTTAAAGAGAAAGCCTGTCGACACTTTTTGGGTTAATTCAGGGCTTGGTCCCTGAATTTTCTTCAACTCTAAAACAGGCTACATATTTTAAAAAATTTCAATTTAGGCCTCAAATTTTGACCAATTTACACAATTAAATTAAAAAAATATCCAATTTTTCGGGTTGTTACACATCCAAAGTCTTTGCTTGTTTCTAAATTTCTTATCAGAGAATATATTATACTTGAGTATATCTTAGTTAATTAATCTTTATAAAAATATTTTTAAGCTTTACAAACTTCTAATCATTAATAAATCATAAAACATGATTGAAAAATTAATTTTGAAGTATGTTAGCATGTACTATCTTTAAAGAAAAATATGTAATTAATAATTTACAGTTTCAGACCATGTTTCATTTGTTCTATGATAAATTAGATTCAATAAACTTTTAAAATATATAAATTACAATTTTAAATTTAATTCATACAATTTACGGTGAATTTTTGAAGTCACTTTTTAAAACAGCCTGCTACATAGTGTAATCACCCTTTCTATCGCCCCATTATATTTTTATTATTTTTATTACATAAATATATTCTCGAGAAGGAAGAAGTAAGAAAAACCCAAGTCCAATGAATAAAACCAATTAAAAAAGTTAAAGTCCATTTAGTAAATGAAGTCCAATTATACTTTCACTACTCAAAGCCCAATACAAATTAGTCTAAACTCGATAACAAAGTAAGAACCGAGCCAAAATCCCAAATACACATTAAAAATTAGAGTTTCCTAATAATTTAATTCACTGTGTAAGAAATTATTAGATGATAACAGTTCATCACGCTATTTATGATCTTAATCAATAATATTTATCCATATTATTTTTTTCGAGGTGAATCTTCACCTATTTTCTATATATTAAAAAAATATTTAATTATTTAATTTTTTTTATTCTCATTACTGAGAATGCAAATGAAGTGATGAGTCGATCAAATCGTGGATATGAAGCAATATAACAAGACCTTTATCGCTACCTGATGACCCTTTCAACGATCATTTACGGGAAGTCTTGGAAGATGATAATTCCATTGACTTTTGGAATGATTCCTGGACAGGTTGTAAATCTCTTAAGATGGATTTCCCAAGAATTTATGCAGTGGTCGTCAACAAATCAGGAAAAGTTGCTGACTTTGGGTACTGTCATTGATGGTAAGTGGAGCTGGAACATTGAGCTTAGGAGATCGTTGTTTGAGTGGGAAAATCAAATTTGGGTCAGCTTCTTGGAAAATATATCCAGTTCTTCTATTCTATCAAAGAACGGTTTGTATCATCCCAAAAGTTTCTGCGAATTGGTCACATCCACTGGCTCGATGGAGGATAAAATTTGGAAGTTTGTTTGGGCTAAACTCGCTCCCCCGAAAGTGGAAGCGTTTATTTGAAAAATTAGTTCACGAGAGAATCCCAACCTTAGTAAAACTCTCAAAGCTTGTGCGTTTATTGTAACGAGGAGGCCGAGACTCTTGCATCTGTTTTGCCATTGTAAAGTCACTTGGACAATTTGGTGTAAGTGGTGGTGTCTTTGGAACGCTGCTATTGTTATGCCAGGTAGTTTTAGATCTTTCTTTTAGAAGTATGGGGCAATTCTCCCATCAGAGCATATGCAAAACTCGTTTGGATTATGTCGTTGTTTGGTTTTCTTTGGTCTATTTGGCTATGCCGAAATGAACGTATCTTTCAAAATAAATTATTCACAACCGAGCAGATTTATGACATTGCTATCCTAAGGACTGGTCTCTGGTGCAAAAATAAATGGTCGTCTGCCATCAGCTCAATAAACGAATTTGTTCGAGTGCCGCATATGGTAAGCAGCATCAAGGTAAAACACAGGTAGCTGGTGTCTGCTGTAATCGGTTTCGGTTGGTTCGGATGGTTATAACTTTAGTTTGTTTCTCCAATTTTCGATTGATGCCTTTGTTCATATATTTGTCAATTTATGAGCATCGGGGCTGGTTGCCGCGCTTGTTGTTGCTCGTATGATTTGCTGGATTACGCATTGGAAGCTAACCCTCTAGCGATCAACGTTTTAGTTTCTTAGGGTTGTAGTTTGCTGGAATCAGTTCAAAAGTTTTGTTGGGGTTGGGACATAAGAGTGTGTGTTCATCGCCAGTTCTGATGGGGCTGCTGGTCATGATATGATATTGAGTGCAGATGTAGTGTTGGTTTCTGCTCAAAATTGAATCGGTGTATCCTGTCTATACAGTTGTCATTTGCTTGAATATGTGTTGTCGCTTTCTATTAAGGTTGATGCATGACTTAGCGTTTTCGAAGCCTCACATATTGTTTTGTTTGGTTTGATGAATGTGCTGTTTGGTTTGTGGTTCAATCATTGTTGTCGCTGTTTGAGGTTCGAGTTCCATACATCGATGGAAAATCCTCATGACTTTGTGTTCTCTGGTTTTTTACGTTTTGGGTGACAATGCCTGTTATCATGGTTGTAATGATGGTGTAATAGTTTTGTGCAGCAAATTTTGTTTTTGAGAAACATCATTTGGCTGTTATTGTTGTAAATTGACACTGGTATGGCTACTCTTTTTCCTTCAAATAGGTCTAAGGAGATTAACGGTTGTTTAATGGACGGTCAAAGTTGGTCAAAGGAGGTCAACAAATTGTCAACCATTTTACAGAATGGCACCCTTTTTTAAATAATTACTAAAATAGCATATTTTCGAATTAAATTCCTAATATAACACCTTTTCGAATTAAATTTCCAAAATAGCACCCATTTCGATTTAATTCCCAAAATATCACCCAGTCAATGGTAAACGGTCAACGGGTCGGGTAAAATTTATGGCGGGGGGGCGCATGAGGTGTCTTCTGGCTGGGTAAAATTCACGGAAAAATTTCTAAAAATTATTTTGAGCGATTTCGAAATACTTACAAAGATCGGTTCAGATTCTTGAACGGTGGAGAGCTCGATTTCATCAAATTGGAAACTTTGACCGCTTAACCTCCCCACGCGCCGCCGTCGACAGAGACCGAGGATAGCACCAGCGGACTCGGAACGGCACAAGGAACACGATGGTGCGGGAGGTGTCGTAAACGGAGCAACGATCAGTGATAAATTTAAGATTTTCTCGGTGATTGAGCTAAAAAAAGCGTCGAGACTTTGACTAGAAATTCCCAGTGTTTGGCAGCGTTTCGCTTCAATTAATTTAATGGAATTGTTCCTCACTCGATAACGAGCACGATGGTGTTTTCAAAACGACGATCGGAAGTCGGACGACGTCGGAATTGAGGTTGGAAGTTGGGCGTATGGGAGGGGATTTTATGAATTGGTTTATGTGTTTTCACGCAGAAACCAATTCATTTCCTTTAAAGAGAAATCCTGCCGACACTTTTTGGGTTAATTCAGGGCTTGGTCCTTGAATTTTCTTCAACTCTAAAATAGGCTACAAATTTTAAAAACTTTAAATTTAGTCCTATAATTTTCACCAATATACACAATTAAATAAAAAAAATTCTAATTTTTCGGGTTGTTACAATTCTCCCCCTCTACAAGAAATTTCGTCCTCGAAATTTACCTTATGAAAATAGATGAGAGATTGAACCTCCATTGATTCCAACGTCTCCCAAGTAGCTTCTGAGGGGCTACGATTACTCCATTGAACTTTGACCATTGGAATACGCCTATTCCAAAGAACTCGTTCATCCCTCTCTAAAACCTGAACTGGCTCCTCCTCATATGACAAATCAGGTCTCAACTCTACCTCGTTAACCTGAATGATGTGATCCTGGTCTGGACGATATCGCCTCAACATAGACACATGAAAAACATCATGAATACGACTGAGCTAGGGAGGCAACTCAAGCTGATAAGAAACAGGTCCAACTTTCTTCAAAATATGATACGGCCCAATAAATCGCGGACTCAGTTTACCCTTATATCCAAATCTCAATACCTTCTTCCATGGAGATATCTTGAGAAAAACCTGATCTCCAACCTCAAACTTAATATCCTTACATCAGTTATCTGTGTATGATTTCTGCCTATCAAATGCCTCTTTTAAGCGACCACGGATCAATCTGACAGTATCTTCAGTCTCTCGAATCAAGTCTGGACCCAAAGTTTTTCTATCATGCAACTCTGTCCAACATATAGGAGTACGACATCTACGTCCATACAGAGCCTCGTACGGTGCCATGCGAATACTTTCCTGGTAACTATTATTGTAAGCAAACTCAGCTAATGGCAAGAAATCTTCCCAACTACTATGAAAATCAATCACACAACCCCGTAACATATCCTCCAACACCTGAATTACTCGCTCTGACTGTCCATCAGTCTGAGGATGAAAAGATGTACTGAAATTCAAACGGGTACCAAAAGCCTCATGCAAAGCCTTTCAGAACTTGGAAGTGAACCTCGGATCTCGATCAGATATGATAGACAACAGAACACCATGAAGTCTAACGATCTCAGAAATGTACAACTTAGCCAGTTTGCCCAAGGAATAATTAATCCAGATAGAGATAAAGTGTGCTGATTTAGTGAGTCGATCAAGAATCACCCAAATAGAATCCTTTTTAGAAGGAGACAAAGGAAGACCAGTAACGTAGTCCATCGTAATGCACTCCCATTTCCACTCAGGAATCTTAATTGATTGTAACAATCCAGATGGATGCTGGTGCTCTGCTTTAACATGTTGACAAGTCAAACACCTCGCCACAAAATCTGAAATATTTTTCTTCATACCAGTCCAAAAGTAGCGTTCTTTGAGATTATTGTACATTTTGTCCCCGCCAGGATGCATATCATAAGGACTACTATGAGCCTCCTGCATAATAACCCGTCTCAACTTATTATCTTTAGGGACGTAGTAACGACCGTGAAAACACAAAATACCATCCTAATCCACAGTATACTCTAAACTCGATCCTTGTTTAACTTGCTCAATAATGTAAAGCAATGAGCTATCCAGAATTGGTTTGGTCTTAATCTCCTCGGCCAAAGTAGGCTTAACCTGCAACTCTGCTAACATACTATTATCATCAAATAAACTCAAGTTGGCAAATAAGGCTCTGAGATCTGATATCCCCTTACGGCTCAAGGCGTCTGCCACTACATTTGCCTTCCCTGGATGATATTCTATCTCCAAATCATTGTCCTTTAGAAGCTCCAACCAGCAAAGCTGTCTCAAATTCAATTCTTTCTGAGTAAGCAGATATTTTAGACTCATATGATCAGTATAAATATAACACTTTTCTCCGTATAGGTAGTGTCTCTAGATCTTTAAAGCAAAAACTACGGTAGCTAACTCCAGATTGTGAATAGGATAGTTACGCTCATGCGGCTTTAGTTGACGCGAATCATAAGCGACAACCTTCCTATCTTGCATCAAAACACAGCCTAATCCAGAGTGAGAAGCATCACTGTAGACAGAAAGATCCTTCCCAGATTCAGGCTGAATCAGTACTGGGGCTTGAGTTAGAACAGTCTTCAGTTTCTTAAAGCTAGCTTGTTGGTTCTCAGACCAGACAAAGGGAACATCTTTCCTCAATAGTTTCGTTAGAGGAGCTGCAATAAGGGAGAACCCCTCAACGAAACGACGGTAGTAACCAGCTAAGCCCAAGAAACTACGAATCTCAGAAACGTTCCTGGGTTGCTTCCAATTCAGAATAGCCTCCACTTTGCTTGGATCCACCAGAATGCCATATGCAGAAATGATATGTCCAAGAAAAGTGACTTCGCTGAGCCAAAACTCACACTTGCTCAACTTAGCGTATAACTTATTCTCCCTTAAAGTCTGTAGAACAATCTTTAAATGCTCCTCATGTTCTGCTTCACTTCTAGAATACACCAGTATGTCATCGATGAACACAACTACAAACTGGTCAAAATAAGGTTGAAACACCCTATGCATCAGATCCATAAAAGCAGCAGGGGCATTTGTTAACCCGAACGACATCACTAAAAACTCATAATGCCCATACCGAGTTCGAAAAGAAGTCTTCGGAATATCCGAATCTTTCACTTTGAGTTAATAATACCCAAACCTCAAGTCTATTTTTGAGAATATAGAAGCCCCTCGAAATTGGTCAAATAGATCATCGATTCTGGGCAAAGGATATTTGTTTTTAACCGTGAGCTTGTTCAGTTTCCTATAATCGATACAAAGTCTCAATGTCCCATCTTTCTTCTTGACAAAGAGAACTAGGGCTCCCCACGATGATACACTGGGTCGGATAAATCCCCTGTCCAACAACTCCTGGAGTTGGACTTTCAGTTCTTTAAGCTCCTTTGGGGCCATACGATAAGGAGCCATTGAAACTGGAGTGAAACCAGAATAGATTTCAATCTCAAACTCAACTTCTCTATCCGGAGGTAATCCATGCAACTCCTCGGGAAAAACATCGGATATGTTTTCCTTCTATTTCATAGAACAATGTTTAACAGGTGAGATTCAATTTTATAGTTTATGATAGCTATATTTTTCTGATGTTTCATTTGTTATGATATTTAATAGAATGTGCATCAGAATGTTTTATTTTTTGCATGTCACAAATCACAACGTGTGACATGAAGCCATATAACAATGATATGGGGAGATAAATTTCATCTTTGTTGTGAGATCAGCCTTCGTATATAATTGCAATTGTCATTGTTAATAATTTAAATCTTATAGCATACATCTTTGGTTAATCATTTATTTATGTTTTTTAAGTCTTTAATGTTGATGTAATGTACTATGCTATTTATTGACCTGTTGCCAAAATTAAAATCTAAGTGGAGTTGTATCTTGTTACATCTTTTAAGTGGTGGATGCCATTGGCAATATATTTTCCAGGTAAACACTGGTTATTTTTCTTCTGTTGGAGTTTATCATGCTAGATCCTAGAAGGGACATGCACTTATTTTAGATGTTGCTCGTTTTATGTATCCTCATTAGTTTCCTCTGAAACCTTTCTAGTAATATTGGCCTTTGGGAATACGAAAAAAGTATTACATGCTGACATGACCATCATCCATGGTTGGTTTAACTTCCAAATTCTTTCTTATACGAAGACCTGGCAGAGATCTAGTCTTGCTTTATACTATGGTAACCTTGTTATCTCAGTATTATAAATTTGAAAATTTTATCAAATTAGATTTTGTTTTCAGATCTGGATACCTTTGATAGGCATTAGTGATGTGATCTCCTTAACTAAATTCGATCCGCAAAGTCTGTAATGGACCATGATATAAGTCCTTATTTTAGCAGGTTATAAGGTTAGTTTCGGTACCTTCTTAGAACTAAACCGTCATTTAGAGAATTTAGTAGTTTACCCTTCTAGAGTCATGTGGAAACCCTAAGAGAAATAGAATGCATGCGGTTAGAGCTTTAAATTTCTCTTCGTGCTATTTATGCTTTCCTCACATTGTTCATTTACTGTTTCCTTTACGAGTGGTATTTGATTATTGTTTTAACCTTACAGCCTCATTTCTTTCTTTCTTTTGTCTACTTGCATTGCTTTGTTCATGCCCAAACATGACGTTAATTCCCGAGTCAATTATTAAAATTAGTAGGCTTTCAAGACGGTACCATCACAAGGAGGGGTAGATAGAGTTAGTTTCTATATGCCTCAATGTCTTGAGATGTTGTTTGTTCTTCTAAATTAGTTCTCTGATAATTACCTTGAAATTGACGTATGCTCGTATACATAGCATATCATGGAAGGTATTTGTTCTCGAGTAAATTGGTCGCATTAGAAGTCTTGCAATAGGACAGTATCACTCGAAGAGGTAAATAGAACTGCGAAAGTATATCAACGGTCTAGAAAGGTGCCCTAAGAAGTAACTAAAGAAATTTCATCAAATTAGAATAAGATCAGAGGTAGACTTAGATTGAAGAAATGGAACTCAAAAGATGTGGTAGAACAAGTTTTTCAAAGATGCTAAAACAATGTTGATATGAGCGTTCGAGAAGAAACGCTGGAAAAGGAGGTCCAAGAAGTTGAAACATTGAAGCAGTACATCAAGCTAGAGACAAAAGAAGAACATTGCTTTGCATGAATGATAGAAAAAGTTAGGAAGTCAAGCGATTTGTATTTTTTTGTCTACCTCGATGGATTGGGACATTGTGTGTTCTTTGAAAGTTTATTTATGACAACCATTTTTGAATCAATACCTTCGTTTCATTTGTATATTTGCATTCTGCATTTTTATTTGCATTTATATTATGCATTAACTTATTTTTCAATAATAATTCTTTCTAGTTTGTTATCTTGTATGCACTAACTTGTTTATCTTATTCTTTTATTTCTTTATTGCATCGTGTGATCGTGTAAACAAAAGGTGTTAATTTGTAAGTGTTCATCATTTAGAAGGTTTTCATGATGGACAAGTGGTTTTTACGATCAAGTAGACCATAATATAATGAGGAGGTGGCATCTTGAAGGAGATCTGAGAAGAGAAAGAAGAAATGCACCCAAAAATCTCATGTTAGATATATCAGAATGTGCTAACACCTATAAAGAACAAAAGGAAATACAAGGGATGAGAGAGAAAATGTCAAAGATAATGGATACAATAACTACTTCAACTAAAGAAAAATGGTCTTCTATATTAGAAGGGAAAAAGCTCAATGAGAATAATCCCGTGATGTCAAATACACAAGAGTCTTCTTTAGAACAAGGTGATTCTAGAAAACTTGAGGAATCACTCACAAGGACTATTCATATCAACAAACTATCTGGAAAGACCAAGGAAATGGTTATAGATGTGGCAATTTAGTATTCGAAGCCAATTTTAAAAGCTTATCTTCAATCAACAGAGTCAGGCTTATATGATGACCAAAAGTTAAGGGGTAGTGGTACTCGTTTTGATCTCAAATGGAGAATTGTACTGTAACACCCGTTTCCTGTATTCGTTACCGAACACAAGTGACATATGTCGCATCAAACTTTTAAAAATAATTCTCATTTCAAAAATCAGTAAAAGTTTCGTTTGTTTTAAAATCACTCATTTTAACACTAAACATTAAAATTATTTAATCGTGTAAAACAGAAAAATAATATTTTAACATTCAAATCTTATTCGATTTCAGGTAGCAACTTAATAGTTTAATATTGTATCATATCCTAAATGAAACTACATAAAAACTGCTTAAATAGAAATTTATCTTTACTCTAATAAAATATAGCTTTATCAAATATAAAAGTAAATTCAATATTTATAAGTATATTCTACTTACTAAAATTCATATATATAATATTTTTTTTCAAACCATTTAAACATTGTAGACATATAAGAGCATATATAATCCATATTAAAAAATTATGGAAACTTATTATGCGTATGCATGGCAACTAGAAAATCAAAAATAAAAGTAGGATGTCATTACTGATAGTGGTAGGTAATCCCTGAGGAATGATGCCAAAATAAGCTCCTTACTCAACTCGCTTTTCTTTACCTACGCGTGAAATAATCACACCCTAAGTATACACTTAATGAGACATTATCATAAATAAAGTAAGGTATATAGAAATAAAAATATCATATAAATCATAATATTGTAAATATCATATAATAATTTATAAACATGTAAAAAAATATTTGTCAAAGTCTTTTCTTTATCAATTAACCTATAAAACAATAGATAATATATATATCACATGTAACCAAATCAAAGGACTCAATGACAGATTTACTTTCCATTGAACCAATCAACATGCACTTTTCAATTTCATATAAGTCATAGCCCAATGTATATCAAATGAGAATGCATGGTAAAAGAGTTAGATGAGTATACATATTTTGCACTTTTATTTCTAGAAAAACGTACATGTACTGTAAAACACAACATCATTGTACCACCAATCATGATTACCATAATGACAAATTCAGATGCATCATGTAATCTATATTTCACATTAGTGTTAGATAGACTTACAAGCACTGTAGAACACAATATCATTGTACTGTAAATCGAGAATAACATAATGCCAAAATCAAACGCTTCATGTATCCCACTGTTAGAAGTACAATATTCCAAAATCAAACGACTATGTACTAAATGCAATCACGTACAAAAGCGCCAAAATATGATGTGCTTGTACATAATGCGGGTTGCTATACTCCACCTCTATGGCATGCCAACTATACCATACACTTTCAATGTACATACAATGGGCACATTTATCAAAATCATATATCATGCAATTAACAAAAGTATCCATAGATACTCATATTTCAAATATCATATCACAGTGGATTAGACAGTTCATACCCGAAATATTTCATTTTCACATA